AGTGTAACCCAATCCAGAATCGATGATGCCTTAAATCAGGGGTGTCAAAAATATGGCCCGGGGCCAGATCCGGCCCCTGCAGGACTACTATCCAGCTCTCTGCTGCTTCCTGTTTCCTGCATCACAGCTCCTTTTACGCAGTCCCTCCTATTTCCTGCTTCACAGAGGAGAAAAAGAAAGCCAAGCCTCCCTTCCCCCCGATTGGCTGAGGGCTCCTCCTTCTCTGGGGTGGGAGGGGGAAAACAGCCAGAGAGAGAGAGAAAAACAGAGTCCCATGGCACTTTTAAGAAGACCAACAATGTTTTATTCCAGGTATACGCTTTTGTGTGCAAGCACACTTCTTCAGAGAGAGGGGAAGTGGGAGGAAGAGGGAGAGATGGAGTCCCATGGCACTTGGAGAGATCTCTCCCATGGCAAAAAGATCTCTCTTTCCAGTTCTAACAGATGGGGAGGGGAAACAGCAGAGCTTGCATTATTTATTAGTGAAAGGGAACAGCAGCACCTTAACGACTAACAAAATTGGTGGCAGGGCATGAGCCACTGCTCACTTCTTCAGATACAGCTAGAATATGAGTCCAACTGTCCTTATATCTTGGACAGCGAAGTGATTTCAGACGCCAAATGACAATAGCTGGAATTGGTAATGAGAGAAGAAACCTAGGTCACAGTTCAGTCCTGGAAAATGCATTGTCTTGAGCTTCATTATCAGTTGCAGTTCAGCAGTCTCTCTTTCTAATCTCCCTTTGAAATTCCTTTGTAAAAGAACTGCTACTCTTAGGTTAGCAACTAAATGTCCTGCAAGGTTAAAATGTTCACCCATTGGTTTTTGAATGCTGTAGTTTCTAACAGCAGTAAAAAGAGTAAGAGTCCAGTAGCACCTTAAAGACTAACAAAATTTGTAGTAGGGTATGTGCTTTCGTGAGTCACTGCTCACTTCTTCAGACTTATTTCCATTTATTCTTTGCATCCTCCTGGACTGAATCCTCCTGTACCAAACTGAGACCTAGGTTTCCTATCTTATTACCAATGCTAATAATCCACGCCTACTACCCCTCTGCAGATCAGACCTAATGAAGTCACGCCTGCTATTGCCATTCGGCATCTGAAATCATCTTTATAAAGTTTATATTTTCGATACCTCATGTTACATTTTATGGCACATACGGCCCAGCCCAAAAAAGAGACATTAATGTCAGATCTGGCCCTCATAACAAATGAATTCAACACCTCTGCCTTAGATTCCAGGTCAGACCTTCCACTCACCAGTAGTGCTTCTGTCTCATTGCAATTAAGCTTCAGTTTATTAGGCTGTATTCACTCCAAAACTGCCTCCAGCAACAGTTCAGGGTTTCTACAGCCTCCCTGGGATAAGCTGAAAGTGTGAGACAGAGCTGAGTGGCATCTGTACACGTGGTGTACCTCATGCCAACGTTACTCATATGTGGTGAAAATGTACCAGAGAAATTTTTGAAAAGCAGTTATAACGTTTTCTCATTATATTATGTTCTAGCAGGAAGGGCGGGATACAAATCAAATTCAATAAATAAGGTCATACCTACACTGGAACTATGTTTGTTAAACTATACTGCATCTATCTTAAAACAGTACTATCAAGTTTTTTCTACAAGAAGGGGGGGACATTTTGTCCCTTCTGCACTGGCCATATTTCAGGCTGACGTAACTCCACAAGTTACTTACGGAGCGGAGATATGGGCTGAGGAAGTGAATGAGAAAAATGATCAACCTCTAACCCACTTTGTGAAAAGGATCCTGGGGGTCCCTAACTACATTTCCAGTACTGCTCTGAGGGAAACACTTGTGCTGAGATTGCTAGAGGCATGTGCCTGGCTTCAAGCTATGAGTATGAGAATGAAGGTTCTCTTTTCTATACATGGCTTTGGGCTATTGGCCAAAATAAAGCAAGTCATGGGAGCAGATGGTTCCAACTTATTGGTGGAAAAAGAAGAATGCTAGAAATAAAAATCGAAACTCTGCAGAACTGGGCAAAATTGCAGCAATCTCCCTTCTGAAAAAGAGAATAACAGAGTTAGACAGGATAAGTACATCCTTTAGAGCACGTAAGGTTTATTCATTATTTCAGTTAGTCTCTGACCTCCATCTGCCCTGCCAGCCTATTTGAAATTTCAAAAAATTCCCGCCTATAGTCGAGCCTTTTCCTAGCCAGGATGAATACACTCCCATCAGCAATTCTAAGGGACTTCAATATGAAAATCGCATTCCAGGACAGATATTGTGGATGGGGAGAGCTTGAAACATTGGATCAGATAATTTTGTATTGCCCACAGCTTGACCTATATAGTGCAACATGGTTGAATCCAGTCCTGAAGACTTTAGTGTCTCTTCACAGTTCTGTCAATACTGTACCAAGATCATACAATTTTTATTAAAGGATGAGTATTTCTTTAGTCATGGCAAAATTCTTCTCAGTAGTGATTATGTGGAACAAAAATATGAATTTTTTATGATGGAGTTAAGAAAAATTTCCAAAGGATTAATTCTAAATTTAAAAATAAAGTGGGATTTAAAGTATATAGAAATCTATTTATTGTTGTCATTATTACTACTAATAGTAGTAGTAGTAGTAATAATAATAATAATGACAATGACAACAATAACAATATATTTCTATATACTTTAAATCCCACTTTATTTTTAAAGTAATAACAATAACAACAATAACAATTTAGTGTGGCCTCACTTGAGACCTTAGGTCAAATGAGTCAACCATTAAAAGAAAACAGTCCTGGGTGATTGTATTGTATGCAGGGATGGCAACTAGATTAGCATTTGCCAAACTGTGGAAGAAGAAAATTCCTAGTAGGAAAGCACTCTTAGAAAAAGGGAAGGATGATTATATTCTGATATGATTTACAGCTCTGCAAAACAACAAAAGATGTGGCTAAGTTAGAATCACAATATAAAGAAGTTTTGTATAGTATGTAATTAACTATGTTAAAGGCCTGGACTTACTTATTTTCCCCTCAGAAGTTTTTTTATGACGTTTGGAAGAACTAACAACCTGGGTATCTTGGACAGAATTAAGGAATAATGGATCTACTTTGTTACTGTATCTTGTTAAGGAAACCTTGTGTACCTACAATCTGAGAATGTATGTTGATACAGTGTTTCTTCTGTACTTGCATTTTTAACAATAATAAAATAAAATAAGACCAAGCTGTAGATATATATGAAACTAAACCAGAGCCCCCTAATATTGTACAATGCCTAGCTTTTACTGAGCTCATAGCAATGGTTCCTTCAATGCTTCAGATTTTTTAAAGGCCAGTGTATGAGCTCCAAGAAAAATGCTGGGTTGGATCCAGCAGTCTATCAGTGGAAGATGCTGAAGGCTGCAGATCGTCCCAATTTTTCCCTACTGTTCAGCAGTTCCTTCTGATTCTGGGAATTTTAATTTCTCAGGGTTGCAGGTCTCTTGTGGAACTCCACAGACAGAAAAGAGAGCAATTTTCTCCAGTTCTCCTAATCACTGCAGCTCCCTGACACATGTGGCTATTTTTCTGCCACAGGAATCAGCTCTCCTGGGGTCAAAAGGAACTCCTGGTCGGACACGAGGAAAGGGGAAAATCTACCACCCTTGCAGAAGCAGTCACTGTATCCAGCATACTGTATTTTCATTAGATATTCTGTAAGGGGTCCAAATACTAGTTTGGGTGCTGCCAGGAACAGTAATAATCCACAGTGCCTCAGTAGGATGTGCAAAGCTGATCACCTCAGCTTTATATTAAAAGTATAACTAGCTTTGCTCCTTCCAGTCAGAAGACGCTGTCTTCAATATCTCAAAGATCCAAAACTGAAGTGTACACTTGCTCAAACAGTAATTATTTTTTTAAAAAAACCATAAAGCCAGAACACTTACATAAGAGAAGAACATAACATATGTAGTTTACTCACTATGTCAAAAGATTAATAAAATGCTGAATATGATGAGAACCAACACAAAAGAAGTAAATGACAGAAAGCATTATCCCCCCCAAAAGGAAATGATAAGCCTGACAAGAAAGCCCAAATTATTCTGCACAAACTACTTATCACAGTCAAAGACTGGACTGAAAATAACCACTACCACTATGGCAGCAGTATTTTTTACTGCTTGGCTCCTTTGAACTTCAGAAAATCCTGAAGAAGTGAACCTTCCTTCATTTGACTATTAATAGCCATCCTCTCTGGTTCTGGTGCACTTGTGTGTGTGAGTTAATATATTTATCGAGTTATTTTATATATTATATTAAATAAATATATAAATAAATGTTGTTTTGATGTTTGCTGCCTTTGTGATCCTATTTGGGAGGAAAAGCAGGATAGAAATGCTTTAAATAAATACTTTTAAATACCAGATAATGGATTCAGCTTGCATACTGGAACCAAAATTCTAATGCATCAGGAAACACAAGTGTCTAGTCACTGAAGATGTTTTTAACTCCATGCAAACACCAGCACAGTGACTGCAACCTCTGTGGCTTGGATACCCCAGTTCAGTCACGCACTGGCATGCAATGTATACCATGGATATCTCACTATGCAAAACTATCCCATAGGTGAATGCCTGTGCAAATTTTATCTAAGACAGAAAAATATGACACCACCATGGTCTCCATTGATGTAAGATTTTTTTTAAAGCACAGTAAAGAAAGCTAGTAGACTAACACAACTCTCAAGAATTTACCTAGAAGCAGCACTAACAACAGCCATTTCTATGAAAATGTATTTGTACTAATAGAGACAGAAACCTACACATTAATTCATAACATCAGAACATACGGATGCTGTTCATATCCTATATAATCAATCCAGGGATTATTAAAAAGGTAATACCAATCTCTGCAGCAGAAGGAAAGATCCAACAATGACCTGGGTTTGTTCCAAATTGTTCCACTGTAAGAACACTAGAAATCCATGGAAACTGCTTGGTCACATGACAACCAAAACTCTCAGATGGCCTGCATAGCAATTATACTTACTTGAATCCTCCCATCGGAGAAGATGCAGTTTCCAAGCTGAGTAATAGAGAAAGCCCAACACCAGAAAGAGACAGAGGGCAAGTAGCAGGTTACGCATGAACACCAGTAGTCCCATCTTCATATGGGATTGTCTCTTCTAAAAGACCTAGAAGAAGAAGAAATTTTGAGCCTTGCATTTTTCTAGTCAATTAACTCTGTATCCTGACTAATGCATACATATATAAAATATCAAGTACAGTACATGTACATCCCCTTTTTAATATTCATATTACCCAGGCATGATGAATCAGTGACACACTTCAATCCTACATCTCTTATAAGGAAGTAAGTTCCACTGAAATGAACTGGAAATTGTGAGTTGATGTGTAGATAAAATTGGACAACTTGACTGGATCACTACATTCCACTTGATCAGGAAAAAAGCATTCATTCAGAACTACCACCATATCTTCAAACAAGGCCACTTTTAATATTCCATGGGACAGGATAAATTGCATTGCAGAATTAATTAAATATACAAAGAACTCTTCAAATCATCTGAAACTACAAATCTGAATCCTTAGATTGATGGAACTCTTAAACCAATTGTCTCTTGAACTACTTACATTCATTTAAAATATTACTAATAGCCATTTACCATCATTAACATCACCTTGCATTTTCTTGCATTTCTCACAGCTTGTAGCAAAACACAAACCCTTTTAAATCTAACATAGGACTGTTAGAACCACACACTATTCTGAAGTGAGAACATCTAAAAATCATTTCTCACCTCTTAATAGCAGTAAGAATGGCAACTGCTCATAAGTATCATGGTGGGGAAATAAATCCACCATCTGTAATTATATTTGTCAACTTGCTTGGAGAAAAAGTGTCCCGTCCCGTCCCTTTAACAGAGGTTTAATAAGATTTTTACCATGTTTTTCCCCCATGCCATGAAAAGCTTCACCTGCCCATCTTCAGACATTGCCCACCTCTATTAAAGAGGTGGGACATGTTTCTCCAGGTCACCTGGCAACACTATTTGTAATGGATTTGTTAGCTGATGTAAGGGTCCCTTTTTGTCTTCCTTCTCTGACAAACAAAATTTGTCTCCGTGATTAGGATGAATGTTTGGAAATGGATTTGATTCTTTGTGTTTCAGAACTGCAAAGTACACAACAATCTTGAATCATACACCTTGTTAAGGGCACTATCAATATACCTAGTAGCCAACTATACCCCGATCTATAGATACTGACATTTGTGGATTGGGGCCAGATGGAGAGCAGGAAGTTTTTCCTGCAAATTTGCCCCCACCCCAGGTTTACAGACAAATCTAGAAACCCGTGAAAAAAAATGGGGGTGGTGGTTTAAATAATTTGCAGGCACTACTTCTTTGTTGCAGTGGTGAGGGAGAGCTGCTGCACACTTCAGCTGGGCACCCTAGCCGGGGGTTGGAAAAGAAGCTTTGGTCCACTGGCAGCCCACCCAACATACTTGAACCCAGCTTTGCTGCATCAATGGAGGTGGTCACAATGGGGGCTGCCTGAACCTCACTTCACCCCAGCTTTGCCACCTCAGCAGCGGTGGCTCCCCCCTGCAGCCTGCTAGACCCCAGAGCCACTGACAGGGGGAGACTGGGGAAACAAAATTTGAGGGCCCAAGTCAGCTGGAAGGTCTCCAAAGCTGGCATCATGCTTTATTCAATGAATTATTTTTTAAAAAAATTCTCATGCAGTTATGAAGAAGATACTGGATTTATACCCCACCATTCACTCAGAGTGACTTACAATCTCCTTTCCCTTCCCCTCCCCACAACAGACACGCTGTGAGGTAGGTGAGGCTGAGAGAGCTCTTTCAAGAACTGCTCTTGAGAGATCAGCTCTGAGAGAACTGTGGCTTGCCTAAGGTCATCCAGCAGCTGCATGAGGAGGAGTTGGGAATCACCTGGTTCTCCCAGATTAGAGTCCGCGCTCCTAACCACTACACCAAACTGGCTACAACCACTAGCAGTGCAGGAAAGACAGAGCACAGCAAAAGAGCTGGGCCTTTCTTTAAAGTTTACCACAAGGATGAGGGAAACCATTTGCTGACCAGATCCTGCTAATCCCATCAGCCAAGCCTGCACTGGAGCAAGGGAAAACCAGCCAGGACACAAGCTATAGTCAACGTCAGGATACAGCCTCCTAACAAGGTCTATGGTTTCCTTCTTCCTTTCGTTCTAACCCAGCTTCTACACAGCCAGATCTTGCCAAGGGGCAGCCTTGTTAGTGTGTGATAGCAAAAAAAAAAAAAAATTACTTTCATTGTATTTTCCTACATTTCTCTGTTCCAGATCTCTTCCTTCATTTTCCTCTCTTCCTTTATGATCTGCCATTTATCTATTCACATTTCTAATCCCCCCTTATTTTTCAGTTTCAATTCCTCCTCACCCATTCTGGTTGGCAACTTAGAACATATTTAATAGTAGTATAGGAGGAAACATTTCTGAATATTATGGACAGAAGGGGGAAGTTAATATTTCCCCATAAGCCATCAAAGCAGGAAAAAAGGATACTTCCCTCCACCCTTAAAATGCATGATAATAAATGTTAATCTGCCTCAGTGGTAACAAATGAGAAACATAAGTTAGAATCCATTTATTTACTTACTTTGTGTCCCGCCTTTATCCCCAAGGGGAACCCAAAGCTGCTTACATCGTTCTCCTCTCCTCTGTTTTATCCTCACAACAACCCTGTGAAGTAGGTTAGGCTGAGTGTGTGTGACGGGCACAAGGTCACCCAGCAAGCTTCCATGGCAGAGTGGAGATTCAAACTCCGGTTTTCCAGATCCTACTTTGACACTTAAACCACTACACAACCTTAGCTTCCATTGCAAATAGCATGAGGGGCTGGAGATAACCTGGGCCAAGATATTTCAATTCCTTTCATTTTCGGCTCTGGAACTCCCATGATCATCCTGAAGCTGGTGGCCAATTTTGAGATTCCTATTTTTAATATCTGATGAGTTATATCTGCACAAATGGACAGACAGATGGACATGTGGATTCCTTATTATTATGCATGCTAACAGCCAGCAAAATAATTTGTTTTATGATATTTGGTTTGGATCAGGATCATATGGAGGGGGGGGAGATGAAATCTTTGTCTGGGGGCACACGGTGGCTCTTGGCAGCCCTGCCCTGTCGGTAAGCTTCAGCACCAAGATCTCTAGGATCTGACAGCTGCAGTACACCAGATCCAGCCGGTTTAGACTTGGCAGAGCTGAGCCAGGTCGCAATGAGTCAGCACTGATCTGATTGGCTGACCAATGTATATATGTAGTTATGTATCTCTGTATGTATCTCGCTTGATGGTGGATGGAGTCTGGCGGAGCATTTTGTTGGAGAGCTGTAAATATTGTAAATAAATTCCTGTATATAGTTACCACTGGACTGTGTCAGTGTGGTTGACTATAGGAAAGCCTCTGGTGAGTGCGAGTGTGACTGAGGTGCTGGTTCATACTACCAAACGCGCTGCGCGACATGCCCAACCCTAGCTTTATCAGGAGAGAATGCAGGTTCCGGGAACAGCTGCAGTAATGGTGGGGTGGCTGGGAACCACACCTAGCCTGATGTGCAGCAGCAATACTGGGAGCCATGCCAGAAGCCCCCCACCAGTAGCAACACTGGGGAGTCAGGGAGATGTGGTGAAACTTCAGAGAGCCACCTCTATCATTGTCACCTTTGTTGAGGCAACAAACCTGGGTCCAGGGGGAGCTGGGAGACCATAGCTGTAGCAAAACTAGCATTGGGAAGGCCGAGGGGAGAATCACACCCTTGAGATTCTCACAGGTCCCAAATGAAACTTAATATGACTCTCAAAAGCTTATACCCCTAATATCCTAGCTGCTCTACTGCAGACTAACATGGCTACCCTCTGAAACTATTATTTTATAATTCTATTATTATTAATTTGTGATATTTGATTTCTATATTATATTTTTAAAGAATTAAGCATGCTTGCTGAAGTGTTCTAAATCTAATTAAAAACCCAGCAATTGTAACCAGAATGTTATGCAATCTAATTTCTCAACTGAGTCCATAATTCTTTAATTTATGTAATTTAACCCATTTTTCTCCACTCAGTGTGGGCCCAAAACAGTTTATAATGTCAAAAATAAAAATAGAAAAACAGAAAATACCACAAATATTTAAACCTGGATTACTTGACAACCAATCTCCAGTCTAATACAGGGGGTGAGGAAGGGGGCAGATAAGGTGGAACCATCGCTGTCTTTGATGGTAACAGTTTCTCCCCAAGCATTTCCCTCCTTCCAGCAGATAGCTTCCCTTTATGCTTGCAAGGGTGGGAGGCAGTAACACCTCTGCTCTTAATAGCAGCGGTCTCATCAAAAGCAACTAAGAAGGCACTCACCTTTTTTTTGTTCTGTTTACCTGTTGTTTTATATATTTGTATTTTTAAGTTGGTTTTAATATTTTAGATTGTTTGCTGCCTTCAAGGTCCTAACTTGAGTAGAAACATAAAATATAAATGTATTTAAACAAATAAAAATACTAAATAATTAATATTTGGCAATTAAAAGTTAAAGGGAGGTAGAGGATGAGAAAGGAAATGTGCAGGTATAAATGCCTCATCCTTTGATCACTAGGAATCTGCTTCTCTGACATGCTGAACCTTTAGTACGTACAATCTCTCTATATGAAATGGCATAAATTTTGGGTGAGACATAACGCAACAAAACCACAACTATGCTTTTATTTCAGTTTCCACAAAGAAAAAGAACATTAACAAGAAGATTGGTAGATGCTCACTGTAGATATCCATAAATGACTGAAAGATTGCACCACAAAGAACAGGGTGGTATAGCCCATCTATGACCCCGTGTAAAAGAAATTTAAAATGAGCTCCCTGAGGAAGGAAGTGATTAACTAACTGAAGACCAACAGACATGTACAAATATTTACACAATTTAAAGTGACAGACTCACTTGTGGTACTTATTTTACAGACCACTCTTAAGAGGGAGGACGTAACACTGAGAAAGCATTTTTGAAAATAAAAACCACAGCTCTATTAGGGTTCCCAAATGGCCTAGAAAAAAGTCTCCCATCCTTTTAATAGAGTTTAATTGGTTGTTATTTATCTCTGTGCCATGAAAAGCT